CCAAAATTTCAGTCAGAAGTTTAAAAATATGTGAAGGAATCGTTTCCGACCCTATAAATCGTATATATTCTTGATCAGCATTAACAGGCGAAGCGATCTAGCCATGTCCGGTAGAAAACTACATTTTCGAAATTTTTTCAAAAATTTTATAAGGGGTTACATCATTAAAATTGTCAAAATTTGATAAAAAAATATCATTTTCTAATTTTTAAAACCTAGTATAAAGACTTTTTAACCCTTTAAAAACTAGCACAGAAAAGCTATCCAAATTGAAATGAATGCATTTTTGGTTTAGTTATGATAATTGAAAATATTGAAATACCCAAAAAAAAAAACTGCATATAAAAGGAGAGATTTAATATATCTTAATTTTGTATTAAACTAAAAAATGAACTTCTTATCGCTTAAATTCAAGCTTTACTTTACGTTTGTTTCTGTTCTGAGCCATCTTTTGAGCCACCTTCTAAAACACCTTTCAAGCAGCAATTTTCAATCCTGTTTAAACAGTTTTTTAAAGAGTAACCTTTTAGTTACTCAGTTGTTTCAGGAGTTACCAACATTTTTCTCATCAGTATTCCTTGTAAAATATATATATTTTTATCGGTGTAAAAATAACAACAGATGGTCGGACTGCGACCCACTTCCAATGGAGGCTTTTGGAGGCTGTCCGGTCTGGTCCATTGGACTCGCTGACTGTCTGTTTACTTTTTGCTGGCACTGTTTATGCTGCACTACCTGTCCGCTCGCTCTCTCTCTCTCTAGCCTCTATTGCCTTCCCTTTCAGCTTTCAATCAACAAGAAGACAATTGCAACAACAATAACAGCAACAACAAATACAAAATACTATACAACTGTTTGACAATTTATCAATGATGTCTTTTGTTGCTGCTGCTGCTGCCTCAGGCTGAGTCGCCTTGGGGTCTGTTTTTTTTTTTTCATCTCTCTTGGTCTTCTTATTGGAACAGGAAGTCACTTATTTGCTGGCTGGCAGCAAGTGCACATCGCACATTGCATTGACATTTACTCGGATTCTCTCGCATCTCTGAGCTTGACACTCACTCGACTCAACGCGGGGCAAGTGGCTCTCCAACTGTGCCACCGTCGTCGTCAGTTGGGGGCACTTATACTGATTAGAATTGCAACTGCAATTGTTGCACTGCCAATTGCCTTCAAATTGAATTGAATTATTCCAGCTGTGACTCTCAAACGGTTTTGCATTTTGAATTTAAGCAGCAAAATTAATGTGATTGACACTTGGCCTCCGGATTAAGGGGATAAAGTGTTTAAGTTTATTATTTAGGGCCTTTTAAAGGGGTTTAAATTATAAGGATTTTATTTTACTAACTTTAACTGAGCTTAAGATATTATATTTCATGATTTTCTGTAATTATTTAAGGTAAATCTTAAGAGTTACTAAGAGTTTTGATAACAAGAGAGTAAATAAAAGCCTTTTTCAAATTTTTAAGGTATAAATTTGATAATTTCAATATTTTTAAACGGATATTTAATCTCTTTTTTATAAATCTTATATATTTATCAATTTAAAAAGGTTTTATATTTATTTTAAAAGTATTTCTAAGGCTTATTAAACCTTGAACTGAGTTGGAACCTCTTCAAAACGAGTTTTACAATTATTTCTATGTAAATACAACCAATTTATTCCACTTTATTATAAAGAACCCTTCCATAAATTAATTAGTTACAGATTATCTTCGCCTTGTAGTAATTCCCAACCATTTGTGACTTTAAAACTAATCGGACTTTAACCTCTGCGAGACTCGTAAACTGCACACCATGCCGTCCGGGCTGTCTCTCAAACTGTGCAATATTGTAAATTTCATGCAAATTGCAATTTGTTGCTATGTATACCCTTCCGAGAGCCATTGGGCCTGCTGGTTATGTTAGTTCCTCTCCTGCAGTTGCAATTCCTCCATGATTTATGGGGCTAACCCCCCTTACCCCAAGCTGCCGCAAAAATACAACCGAATATGTCGAATACACATTCCGCTTGCCCCACTTTGTTGCAGCCGAACGGAATTTATGGCTGCCACACAGCAGCAAAAAAAAAGCCCCCAAAAACAGTTTGAAAAGTGTTTTAAAGCCAAAAAGTGAGCACAAGTTCTAAATTACTTTTCCCAACAGCGCACAGCAAGCGCAGCTTCCGTTCTCTTGGAAAAACCTTTCTTTATGAGCCCAGAGCCAGTTTGTCGTCTTACGGATTGGAAAATCGAAATCAAAACTCATAAAAATGCAATTTGCGCAAACAACTTGACTTTGAGCCAACCCCCAAAAAACCTGAAAAGTTCCAGGGAATCCCTTTTCACATCGTTTTGAGCTACTTTTTGTGCTCTTTCGAGGAGAGAGGGTATAATGAGCTGGACAAGGAGTTTGTCATTGAAGGTTAAGGGGAATATTTGTGGGGAATTTGTAGGGAATTTGGTTCCTTACTAGAACTACATTATTGAAAGATCATTATGATCTTTATTTTATGACAATAAAATTAAGTATAAGTTATTTTAAGTTCTATAAAAGTTGGGTTATAATACTACAGACTTTAATAAATATTTCGAATTAGTAATGTTAATGTTCATTTAAGGAAGCACTCTTTTCTCTTATTAAGAAAGAGCTTAAGGACATGTCTTTCTGTCATTAATTCTTTTAATAATTAAAGAGATATGTATCCCTATAGAGTATTTCCCACTTCGATCTTGGGAATCTCATCCTCGTTCCCCTGCTCTTCTTTTGGGGTCTAGGACAGCTACGTGTCTCCAATTTGCATGTGCATGACTGAGACTGTAACTGAGACCCAGGGTGCTGATGAGGAGTTGGGGGATGGCTGGGAGGGGTTGGAAAAAGCGACAGGGGATGGGGCAGGGAAATCCATGGGAATGGGAGCGGTCCAAAAGGCCAGAGGACCATGGACCGAGGGTGGCGCCATAAAATCCATTTGGCGCACAGACCGTTAACGTGTTTTGTTGTATTTGCCAAAGGAGAAAGGGAATCGCAGGATTCCCAGGAGGAGCAGCAGGATAAAGCCGAGGTGGAGAAATGGGTGTAACTGCTACTTGGGGGCGTGTTAGTTTGTGCGGTTGAAATTTATGGTGACCAAGGGTGGGAAACTTGATGAAGAAGGGCTGTCTGCCTCTACTCCTGCTCCTACTCCTGCTCCTGCTCCTGCTGCTGCTGCTGCTGCATTTAAATCCGGGTTCCAACTTTATAAACAAAGTCTCGGATACGTGACTGGAAAGAAAAACAAAAGGCAGAATGCAGGCGGAATAGTTTTCAGTTATTGCTTAGTTTTATACATATATGCAAATAACGTGTAACTGCTGTGGATTTTATTTAAAGTTCAAGAAAGCAAAAAGATCTCTAGAGAGAGCTTATAGAGAAGTTGAGGAATTTGTATAGGAATTAGATACTTAAAACTTGGATATGCCATTGCAGAGTCCTACAATTTTAGTTAGAAGCTTAAAACAAGGTGAAGGAATCATTTCCGACCCCTTAAAATATACATATTCTTCATCAGCATCAACCAGCTGAGGCAATCTTGACATCTCCGGTTAAAAAATATAATATATCTGCTAAAATAATAGTATTCTAATTTCAGTCAGAAGCTCTAAATGCAGTGAAGGAGTCGTTTCCGACCCCATAAATCATATATATTCGTGATCAGCATTAAAAGGCAAATCGATCTAGCTATTTTTTAAAGAAAACAAAACTTTTTAATTTTGTCGATTTTTAGAAAAAATGATAAGTGGTTACATCATTAAAATTTGCAAAAATTTGCCAAAATTTTAGGTTTTAAACTGGGTATGCAGTTTTATTGACCTATTAAAAACTAACATAGGACAGCTTTCCGAATTAAAATTAGTGCATTTTTGGCTGAGTTATGAGATTTTGAACCTTGAAAAAATGTTCATATTAGAATATTTTAATATAGATTTTAAGGAACCGCTTTGGCTTAGTTATGTTCGATTTCCGATGAAACTATTAACCTTAAAAACAATACATTTGTTGGTTAATTGGTAACGAAGTTATGTCCCCGTTTTTCATATAACCACCTGACCATCTAAGACCATGTTCCACACACACACACAAAAATGTGGAGGAGGAGGCGGAGGGCAGGAGAAACTGTTCACTTTAAGGCAACATTTGGCACATTATGAGGCAACATGGCAACAGCCTTTCAGTGGTACTTAAGGGCGTGCGGGCCAATAGAACAGGGAACAGGCCAATGGGCCAAATAGAACAGGGAACACACACTCCCCACACACACACACACACCATGCTGCATACACACACGCACTTTGCATAATTAATGCAGCGCTTGGCAATGTCAAACCCGTTATTCACTCGAGACATTTTCCGGTAGAGTCCTCTCTCTGTGCATCATAGACCAAACTTTTCCGGGATGAAAGAAAGGTTGGAAGAGAGGAGGAGAGCAGTGCTGTAGCACTTTTTTTTTTTGTGTTTAATTAAAACAAGAAATTGCCACTTAAAGGCGGCGGTAAATTATGAATACCAAGCATCCTGGATGCCTGTGTTTTGGCCTCTCTCCTAGTTGGATGTCCTTTCAGCTGCTACATATGTATATGGGAGTTGCAGTCACGCGCTCATTAGCGAGGACATTGTAAGGCAGACAACACAGGAAAAACATATATATTGCACTGCAAGTCAAGGATAATAGGAATAATAATATTTACAATTCAGAAAAGAAAGTTTCTATACAAGAAAGTAGATAGAAATATGTATTTAGAAACTCATATCATATATTAAGTTAAGTTTAAAAGACACATTTTCTCCCTGTGCTTATACCTATAGTATTTATAGGCACAAGTACAGGGAGGAAGTTCAGCCTTTGCTAAGGCCGGAAGTCTTTTGTGCCACTCGCACGACTTGAGCACGACGTCAATGGGTGCACCTGATTCAGAAAAATAAAACACACACACCCATTTGTCAACCCGTTTCTCACCTCCCTGTTTTCCTTCTCCATTTTCCAGGAACTCAAGGAGAGCTTCAACTACGGCCTGTTCGCTCCACCTGCCAATGGCAAGGCTGGCAAATTCCTGGACGAAGAGCGTCGCCTGGGCGACTATCCCTTCAATGGACCCGTTGGCTACTTGGAGGTATGTCCCTGCAATCAGTTACGAATCTATCTCATTTAATATTTCACTCATTGAACTTTCAGCTCAAGTACAAACGACGTGTCTACAAAATGCTGACCCTGGACGAACGCCAGCTCAAGGCTCTGCACACACGGGCCAATCTGCGTCGCTTCCTGGAGTGCATCAATGGGGGGCATGTGGAGAAGATAGCCAAGATGTGTGCCAAGGGTCTGGATCCCAATTTCCACTGCTCGGAGAGCGGCGAGACTCCGCTGACGGTGGCCACGGGTGCCAAGAAGCCGAACAAGTTGCTCATAGCCCTGGTCAACGGAGGAGCCTTGTTGGATTACAGGACTAAGGATGGGACCACGGCACTGCACAGAGCTGTGGAACAGGATTCCCTAGAGGCAGTCAGGTAGGAGGAGGAACCACGATATACATTTTGAGAGTCTTTCTAATATTATTTTATGATTACACAGCACTCTCCTGGAGCTGGGAGCTTCGCCCAACTATCGAGATGGACGTGGCATCACTCCCTTGTACATCTCCATCACCCGAAGGTGTGAGGCCAAGATCACAGAGAGTCTGCTGCATGATCATGCCACACTCGGAATCCAGGACAGTCAGGGCTGGAACGAAGTGCATCAGGTGAGTCGGTGACGGTCCTTGGAGCGAGTGCAACCCGGTCTGATTCCTAACAGCAACCCAAGCTTTGAACCCAAGCCAAACCCAATTCCCGGTGATTTGTGTTGGTTGAACCGCCAATTAATTATTGATTCTCTTCTCTCTCTCTCTCTCTCTCTTCTTTATTTATTTAACTTATCTATTTCTAACTCTAAAACAATACAAAACAAAAATTCGCTTGCTAATACTTTGTAACCCGCGGTGTGGCTGCTGCATCCTTTGGCTACCTCCGTACGTCGTGATTCCCGATTCCGGTTCTTAGGCCTGTCGGCATGGCCTGGTCCAGCACCTGGAACACCTGCTGTTCTATGGGGCGGACATGGACGGGCGCAATGCCTCCGGCAATAGTCCGCTGCATGTGTGCGCCGTTAACAACCAAGAGGCCTGTGCCCGTATGCTTCTCTTTCGCGGTGCCCAGCGCGGTGCCCAGAACTTTGCCAATCAAACTCCCTACCAGGTAAAGATCACAGTCTCTCTGTCTGGAGTTGAGAGATTTGTACAGGGAAAGGAAAATAGAGGAGACTGATACCATTTCTGGAATAATTTCCAAGCTTATATAAGTGATATTACTTCCTATTCCTTCTCAGTGCAAAACTCTCAACTCTTGAAAGTATTTCGTTTGTTAACTCGTAGTTTTGTAGTCTCTAAGCTGGTACTTTTGTGCTGCTGCTGCTGCTGCTGTAGTTACGCTTTGTAGTTCAGTTACAGTGATTAAGTTAAGCATTTAAGTTATTTGATTTAATGACTTGATTTTTGGTTCCGGTTATTTAATACGTTTTTGTGATTCCCCCTCTCTAGGTGGCTGTCATAGCCGGCAACTTGGAACTGGCCGAGATAATTGAGAACTACAAATCGGAGGATATTGGTAAGTGCTGGTTGACTTTTTAAATAGATCCATTCATTAAATACCACTCGACAGAACTAACAACAGCTCATACTCATCTCAAACTCAAAACTGCAAAACCCCCAAAAATCCCATTTAAAGGGAAGAACATCTTCCTGGTTTGTCCTTGTTTCGTATTACCTTTCTCAGTTCGTTTGCTCTACTCAATCTATTAAAATATAATTATAATTCTGTATTCATCTCAAAAAATATGTAGTTTCCTTTACAACTTGGTTCGAATCACAGTTTTTTTCCCCCAAAAAACATTTTGTGTGTATCACTCAATCTCATTCTCTCTATGAACACACCGCATCATCAATCAATCAATCAATCATCCAACTTGATCATCTAGGTCTCTCTTATCCCAATATCAATATCAATGTACAATACTCGTTTTATATATATTAATAATCCTTTCAAGTTCTATACAAAGTGCAACCTATATATAAATATACCCAAAACAAACACCTTTTCGTATTTTGCATTTGCTTGCTTTTGAGATTTTTGCTCTAAATATATAAATGTATTCGAAATCAAATAGTTCCAAACTCTTTTTGGCTGTTCTTGTTCCGTGTGTTTTGTTCAATGTTTTCCTACATTTACTACCACATTTCACATCAATAGCGAGTTTTCTTTGTTTGTGTGCGGGCAGGACATTTGTAGAGTGTCCTTCTCGTCTATATAGTTTGCTTATTTCGATCACAGTCGCTTAGCCTTTCGGTAAATGATCAGTGTAAGTAAGTGTAAGTGTAAGTTGTGTAATCCCGGCATACAAATAATCGTTTAAGCTGGGCCTTAGGGCCTTAGAGTTATTATTATTTAATTTTAATTTTTAATTTTAAAAATTTTTGGAAAAAAGATTGAGTAGAGAGCGGACTTTTGGGGCTTTGGGAAAAAGGTTCTAAATAAATTGAAACTTCAATAAATAATAAACTCTAGCAAATCTTTATCGATTCTATTGATATTATCGTGAAATATAGATTACAAATTTAATTCTTTATCTTTTATTTTGAATTTTCATGTAACTTATGAATATTTCATTTTATTAATAGTTTTCCAAATTAATTTTAAATTGTTTTGCCAAATGAGAAGCTATATTTCTTGAAGTTGGCCAACGTTTTCCCCGCACTCGAAGGGTTCTGAATGTTAGCCGGACTTGACCACTGACTTGACCACCAATATCCATAACAAACCCCAACCTTATCCCAACCAATCCCTTAACACACATTCTAAGCGAATATCCTTGATCCACCACACAGTTCCCTTCCGCGGACCGCCGCGCTACAATCCGAAGCGACGCTCGGGCATCGGGTGGCTCAGTGCCAATGGAGCCGCCGGTGCCGCTCTCCTGGCAGCGGCTGGCGGTGGCTTTGGTGGTGCAATGGTTGCCAATGGCAGTGCGAATGGCCACCTTAATGGGAATGGCATCGGGAACGGCGGAGCTGGCGGTGTCGGTCTGATGCTCAGCCATCAGAACCATCAGCAGCTCCTGGCCGGGCACCACCAGCAGCAGCAGCAGCAGCAGCAGCAGCAGCAGCAGCATCATCTGCACCACCAGCACCACCTCCAGCTTCATGCCCTGCAGCTCCATGGCCCCCCATCGCCCTGCCCCTCAGAGCACATGCTGGGCGCCTACAGCTCCGCCAGCTCCAGCCTGTCCGAGGGCTCCTCTGGCCACCGATCCCATGAGGATGACATCAGCATTGTGACAGGTGAGGAATATATACAAATGTTGCTTTGATTTTGCTCTCCTGATTTCGCCACTTTATTTGCATTTTGCTTAAGTTTATGTTTAAGTTTTTTATAAGTTATGGGGAGGCAAAGCTTAGACAATATTTATATATTTATATTGTAAAACGAAACAGATAAGTATCTTTTGAACTATGTTTAAATATATATATATATGTCAGCATGCGTTTTGGTAGACTTTAAAAAAGAAAATTTACTGAATTGTGCATGCTTTCTTCCATCATAAATAATGCACTATAAAAAATCATTTAAAAATCATTGAACTATGTTTATATTAGAGAAAATTGCGGATAAATATTAAATACATTAATTAAAGAATAGATCAAGAGTTCTTTGCCGGAAGCTGCTCTGTCTCTTGTACCTAAAAGTAGTATACTTTACCATTTTCCGAACGTAAACATCGGTGCCATATCCTGCTTAAAGTAAATTTTAATAAAAAACGATTAATGTATTATTTTCTCTATTTTTTATTTTGTTTTTTTTTTTAAGTAATAAACTATACATAACTAGGGTAACTTTAAAACTATTTTCTATCAAATACAAGACCTCTAAAATAATGCCTAGAAATAACAAAACTAAATGGTTCATATCAGTTTTAAATTAATTTAACCTAAAACAAGACAGGAAAACAACTTCGGGATGCCGAAGCTTATATACCCTTGCAATTTACCATTAAATTAAACAAATTTGCATACCCAGTTAAAAACCTAATATTTTGGACAATTTTTGCAAATTTTACTGATGTAACCCCTTATCATTTTTTCTAAAAATCGACAAAAAGTAAAAAATGTTGTTTTCTTTAAAAAATGGCTAGATCAATTCGCCCGTTGATTCTAATTAGGAATATATATTATTTATAGGGTCGGAAAAGATTCCTTCACATATTTTTAAGCTTGTGAACACAATAATAATACACTGCAAGGGTATAAATATTTACTACTATTTAAATAAACTCGCAGATAACTCGCAGTTCATATTGTGTCTGTGCTGTATCTCTTTACCATAAGCCATCGCTGTGTCTGTCGGTTCACTGCATCCGCTTGGTCTCTACTCTGCTGGAGGCTTCTCCCTCCAATCCCCGACATGTGCATGCCTCTCGTCTCGAACCATGAATATTCCCGACCATTAAAAATCCGAAATGTTACTTGCACTCACTCTCGCAACATCCTGCTCCTCGTCCTCCTTCGAACAGATAAATCCCTGGGCGACACCAGCGACATCATCAGCGACTCCTCGGGCGTGGGAACCAACTCGGATTCGGCGGCCTGTTCCATTGGCCATCCCAGCACCACGGTGGTGTGCATGGAGCCCTATCCCGGCAACACTGTCGGCCACATTCGCCTCCAGCCCGGCGATGTCATCGAGGTGGTGGGCAGCACCGACTGCGGCCTGCTCGAGGGCTATGTCCGTGGCACCAATCAGTCTGGGTTCTTCCCCGCCGACTGTGTCCAGGAGGTGAGTCTGCGCCAGAAGCACATCACCAATGTGATGACCGCCAGCACGGGCATGGCGCCGCAGCAACAGCAGCAGCAGCAGCAGCATCAGCATCAGCAGAACCAACAGCAGCACCTGCAGCAGCAGGCGCCCGTATCCTCCGCCGCCTCCTACCAGGGATCTCCGCAGCTGAGCCTTGGAGGACACTCGGGCAGCTCCAGCACCCTGCTGCAGCAGCCCCACCAGTCGCCCTCGCTCTCGGTGGCCAGCAATGGCTCCTGCCAGCAGCCGGGTGAGACCAACGGAGGCGGAGGAGGAGGAGCTGCTGCTCAGTCTGGGAACGGTGGCAGCAATCACAACAATAATCACTCCGTGGGACAGTACAGCAGCGCCACAGCGCCGCGCATCAAAAAGAGGCAAGTCCTTTAAGATATGTACTCAAAATCCGTACTAATCCCAGCTTGGTTACTCCTCCACAGCGCCTACAATGCGCCACGTTCGGTGGTGCTGCACCGCGCCAAGCGCGGCTTCGGCTTCATCCTGCGTGGCGCCAAGGCCAGTTCCCAGCTGATGCAGCTGCGTCCCTCAGAGCGTTTTCCGGCGCTCCAATATCTGGACGATGTGGATCCGGGTGGCGTGGCAGATATGGCTGGACTCCGGCCTGGCGATTTCCTCCTCACGATCAACGGCGAGGACGTGAGCGCCGCCTCCCACGAGCAGGTGGTGGAGATGATCCGCTCGGCGGGCGCTCTGGTCAACATGACGGTGGTCTCGCCCCAGTTTCCCCACCAGATGCAGGCCAGTGCCCAGTACCTGCCCAGCGGGGCACGTGCTGGCAGCCAGCACCTGAACAGTGGACCAAGCACGCCGCAGTCCTCACATCGCCAGTGCGCCACGCTGCCCAGGAAGATGGCGGGTCCGGGAAGCAATGGCGGCGGAGGATCCTCGACCGGAGGAAGCGTTCGCATGGCACCGATGCCACCACGCCGAGATCCCAAGACCACGCTCAGTGTGGGCCGGGCCAGAGCCAAGTCCATGGTGGCTGGCCTCGAGAATGGAGGCGAAAAGGAGGATGACTTGCCGCACACCAAGTCCAATTCGGTGGAGTCCATTGCCATGCCCGCGCCGGGAGGCAGCGGTGGTGGCGGCAACCAGACGGGACCTGGAACGCCCGTTCAGCTGCGCACGGCCAGCATCAAGGCGCGACCCACTTCCAGCAGGATCACTGCTGCGGAGCTGGAAGAGCTCTTCCAGCGGCAGCAGGGCGAGGGCAACGCAGCGAATGCCAGTCGCTATGCCACCATGATGACCAGCTCGCGCTTCCAGTCGGGCACGGACAGCGGGGCGGCCACACCGCCCGCCTCCAACGGTTCGCCGATGAGGACCGGTCCCCTGGTCTACGGCAGCGTGGCCGAGATGAAGCGCAAGACGGCGAGGAGCAAGCACGGCAGTGGAACACTACGCGGCAAGCCAGTGGCCACGCCAACGGTGGGTGCCGGCGGCGGAGCAGGAGGCGGACGCGACCTCAAGCGGTTCCACTCGACGCCCGATCTGCACGGTCCGCAGCTACATGGCTCGGCCTCATCCATTTGGCAGGCGGCCGGCAAGGGTCACCACTCGCAGGACGATGTGGCCACGCTCCATGCCTCCCTGCAGCGCCTGAACTCCAACCAGGGTGAGCTGAAGCTGGGAGGATTGGCAGGACAGGCGGTGCTCCCACCACCGAATCATCCACCGCCGCCGCCACCCGTGGGCCAGGTGGTCAAGGTAGAGACTCGCAGCAGTGTCTCGGAGTACGAGAGCACCGTCTCCTTGCAACAGAAGCTGAAGAAGCGCACGGAGAACGATGCGGTGACCAGTGCCGCCATCGATGGCGTCCAGAGCAGCTTCAATCCCTCGGCGAATGCCAAGATCTATGCCTCGCCCCAGGAGCTGCGCAACGTGATGGCCTGGAAGTTGCGGCAGGCGCAGGAGAAGCCCCAGCAGGAGACATCCGCGGGCTCCCAGCAGCCGGTCAGTCAGTATGCGGCTCCCACGCAGATGCGACCGCCACAACAGCAACAGCAGCAGCCCACGGCAGTGGCCTCCCACTACGCTGCTCCTCAAGTGCAAGTGCAGGTGCAGGTCCAGCAGGTGCAGCCAGCGCCTCAATCTCCGCCAGCACCACCGCCACCACAGCCACAGGCAGCGCCAGTGCCGGCACAGAATGGAAACAGCAATGGAAACGCCGGATCAGCTCCTCCGATTCCCGAGCCGGACTACAGCTGCAGCGAGTCGGACGGCGAGGACGAGAACTCCATTCTAGTGGCTCGCAACACCAAGCTCAACGAGAAGATTGCCCTGTTCGATGTGCCCGAGACCAGTGGCAATAGTCAGGCCAGGTAAAACGTTCTTTTTAGATCCATGGAATTTCCACTAATCCCTTCCTTTATCCCACACAGTGGCAGCAGCTCCAACTCGGGCAGCGCCTCCATTTCTCATTCGCTCTCCGTGGAGGAGATCCAGCGCATTCGTAGCAATCTCAAGACCTCCAAGTCATCGCCGAATGGCTTTGCCAAGAAGCCAGAGGAGGAGCAACAGCAAGCCCAGCAGCAATCCCACCAGCAACAGCCGCAGCAGCACTTGCAGCCCGGCGAGGATGAGTGCGACAATAGCAGCTCCGGCGTGAGCAGCGAACAAGAGCAGCAGATGCAGGCCCAGGCACAGACTGGGGCACTTGGCAAGCCCACCGATACCATCAAGAAGAAGCCTACGGTAACCATTGTGGAGGAACCCAAGACCATACCGGATCAGCCAAGCCAAACGAAGCCCATGGCCAAGACCACGATCAGTATAGGCGGCGGAGGCGGTGGTGGAGCCACGGCCACGCTGACAGTGAAGCAGCTGGTGCAGCAGCAACATGCGCCCGTCATTCAGCAGCAGCAGCAGCAGATGGGCGGCAAGCAACCACAAACAGTGGCCAAGATGCTGCCCCAAAGCAACGTCAGCAACGTCAACGTTAACGCAAACAACAAGGTAATGAGTCCCCAAGTGCTGGGTCGCATTCCCAACCACCATCACCAACAGCAGCAGCAATCGAATCCGAATCAGAAGCTGATCGCCACCCAGCAGCAGATCCTGCAGCAGCAGCAACAGCAGCTGGCCCACCAGCAGCACCTGCAGCAGATCCTCAAGGCGAAGGCAGCAGCGGCCGGAGGAGCCAGCAACACGGCCGCCTTGGTGGCCAAACACCAGCAGCAGCTGCACAAGGGCAATAGCAACAGCAGCGGCGGCCACGAATCGGAGATGGAGCAGCGCTCCGATGTGGAGGACGACGATGGTGATCTGAGTCCCTCGCCGCCGGCCAAGGCCTTCCAGCGTCACAATTCGCTGACGCGCAAGCAGGCGGCCGCAATTGCCATGCAAAGGGGCGCCACTAGGACCTCGGCCGTGTCCCTGATGCAGCTGCCGCCGCCCCTGGAGGCGGATAGCGATGGCGAGCCGACGTCGCAGCATACGCTTCAGCGTCAGACCCATCCGGCTCATCAGCTCCAACTGCAGCAATTGCAACTGCAGCAGCAGATGCAGCTGCAGCAGCAACATCCACAGCAGCAGCAGCAACAGCAACAGCCGATGGTTGTGGGCATGCTGCCCAGCGGACAGCTGGTGGCTGTTGCCTCTGGCGCTGTTGTTGCTGGCGTTCCGGGCGTTGGATCAGCGGCTGCGGTGCAGCCGGGCAACAACAATCTGCAGCAGCTGTGCACCGACAATCTGGTGTTGGCGCCGCCGCCGCAGTTCTGCGATTGCAACGATGCCAAGCACGCGCCGCAGCCGCATCTGCCAACGAGCCAATACCATCCCCAGCAGCAGCAGCAGCAACAACAGCAGCAGCAGCAACAGCAACATCAGCAGCAGCAGCAGCAACTGCAACAGCATCAGCAGCTGCAGCAACAGCAACAACTGCAGCAGCAACTGCAACAGCAGCAGCAGCAGCAGATGCAACTGCAGATGCACCAACGGCTGTCGGGTGGCGCTGGCCCCGGCTCCGTGGGCACCTTGGGCAGGGTTCGCATTGTGGGGGCCATGCCCAAGGCGAACCACCACAGGCTGCACTAAGCAGGCAGAAATCAAATCAATCGTTTGCCAAATCGTGTTACATTGTTAGTTAGTGTTAGTTGTTAGTCCAAACAACAGTCATTGCCAACTCTCACAACGAAGAAAGAAACTGCACCCGATTTAATGGCTAAAAAGGGATCACGTTCGAACTGCAATTTGTTTGATTTCCCAGTCTTTTAATTACTTTTATTATATATTTATTGCGTGTGATATAAATTTATGTAACTAAGCGCTATTTTGTAATCGAAACAGCAGCAATATCTAACGGTTAAAACCCAAAACCCCCCATAGAAGCCTCTTGAAAACAAACTGAGAGGCAGTCGAAGGAATAGCATGCATGTTCTATTCGCATTTTCGTTCATTTCAGTTTGCTTTCGAGCCCAGTCTTAGTTCGTAGACAAGTTCATTTATTCAAGTATCCATCCATTGATCATTCGTGTTCGATTTAGTGCACAAAACACACACATTTAAGCGGAACACTAAACACATTTAATCTAAATACACAAACTAGCGTAGGTTTTTATAGGCCTAAAGGGAAGGAAGAAGGGAAAGCACCGAGTAACAATAATATTTGAATTTGAGCATTTAGCCGAATTTCCAAGTCAAGTCAAAGTCAACTAAAACTAAATATAAAACTAAACCTAAACCTAAACCTAAACAATACTGAAATGGATAAAACGTATATAATGTTTTTAAACCAAGTATTTATAATATTAACGTAAACGAAAATATTTCAATAGGCGGCAAATTTTATAATCCGAAACGAGGACAACAGAAAATTGAAAAAAACGTAAATTTTTTGCTAGTAAAATTTACAGATTTTTACTTTTAACCGAAGAAGAGATCTTTTGTATAATTGTTTTTTATAGAGAAAAACTTTAACTTGCCAGAGTATTACAGGAGCAATGGAGAAACATGAAGTAGAGAAGGTTCTCAAGCTTGTATCGTCAACAACTTATATAAATGCGTTTTCACGTTGTAACAATTATTATACAACTAAGGCTGATTTTACTGCATAAAACAAAAGAAACACATACAGAACACGAAGACCCAGACAAGGCATTCGCTCTCACAAACTGAAAATGAATTATAAATAAAGTGGAAAGCGTACGAGAACGAGTACGAGAAGGATAACTCCTATATTAACCAAGCAAGCGATTAATGCATTTACAAAACATTGTTTAAACGGAAAGCACTCTTTGAGGTATATGGCCGGATCGGATCGGATGGAGTTATAATGTAATCGCACCTTTAGCACTAGCATCTAAGTGTTGAAAAGTTAGCAAAAGCCGAAAACTAAATCCCTAATACAGAGTATAACATAAACAGTAACGCGTACGAGTAAATATATTGGAAATTCTAGCATCTAATTAGGTTCTAGCACACACACACTTTTTAGTTCTCGCAATAGTTGCTAATTATTTGTAAATTGTTTTTAGTTCCAACACAAATATTATATGATTAGCCATCGTCAAGCTTGTTAATTTTTAAGTTCAACTCTGCCTAGGAAACCCGCGCGGAGCTGGGAGTGCTCACGATTACGTATAGCCTGCAATTGCGAAAGCTAGCATATAGAAAGAATATTGCTCCACGATAATGTTAAACGATTAAGCAACAAGCACACACCATCCCCCCCCCCCCACACACACATATACTTTAAATGCATGTATTTAAAAGTGGAATAATATATGGAATATTTAACATAAGTCGTAAAATATGCAATTATGTATTATGAAAACCATGCGTATGAAGAATCAATAAATATGAATGAAAACTATGATCGAAAAGTGTTTGAAACAAAGTGAATTGAGCCATTTCCTCCACCTTCACTGCGTTTTATAAAATTTTCAATTTTCGGAAAAATGTCAAAAATTTATTTCTTGACCGGACATGGCTAGAACGACTGGGCTGTTGATGCTGATCAAGAATATATATGGTTTATAGGGTCGGAAATGACTCCTTCACTGCGTTTTAATCTTCTGACTGAAGCTTTACTCTGCAAAAAGGTATAAAAACAGACAATTTTCTTAAATAATCGGAGTTTTCCGAACATCATAATTAAGCCAAAATAGCATTAATTTTGATTCGGAAAGCTTTTCTGTGCAGGTTTTTATAGCACTAACAACTCTGCATACTGCGTTTGTTGATGCTGTTATAAGTTTCTGAGTAAAATTATAATAACCTGCAAAAAGGTATAAAAACAGGCAATTTTTCCCAAAAATCATAGTTTAAAAAAACTCATAACTAAGCCAAAAAATCATTAATTTTAATTCGGAAAGCTGTTCTATGCTAGTTTTTAGTAGATTAACAATGCTGCATACTCAGTTTTCAAATTTAAAAAATTCAATTTTTTGTCAAATTTTGGCAATTTTAATGATGTAACCCCTTATAAAATTTTCAATTTTCGGAAAAATGTCAAAAATTTATTTCTTGACCGGACATGGCTAGAACGACTGGGCTGTTGATGCTGATCAAGAATATATATGGTTTATAGGGTCGGAAGTGACTCCTTCACTGCGTTTTAATCTTCTGACTGAAGCTTTACTCTGCAAAAAGGTATAAAAACAGACAATTTTCTTAAATAATCGGAGTTTTCCGAACATCATAATTAAGCCAAAATAGCATTAATTTTGATTCGGAAAGCTTTTCTGTGCAGGTTTTTATAGCACTAACAACCCTGCATACTGCGTTTGTTGATGCTGTTATAAGTTTCTGAGTAAAATTATAATAACCTGCAAAAAGGTATAAAAACAGGCAATTTTTCCCAAAAATCATAGTTTAAAAAAACTCATAACTAAGCCAAAAAATCATTAATTTTAATTCGGAAAGCTGTTCTATGCTAGTTTTTAGTAGATTAACAATGCTGCATACTCAGTTTTCAAATTTAAAAAATTTTCAATTTTCGGAAAAATGTCAAAAATTTATTTCTTGACCGGACATGGCTAGAACGACTGGGCTGTTGATGCTGATCAAGAATATATATGGTTTATAGGGTCGGAAATGACTCCTGCACTGCGTTTTAATCTTCTGACTGAAGCTTTACTCTGCAAAAAGGTTTAAAAACAGACAATTTTCTTAAATAATCGGAGTTTTCCGAACATCATAATTATGCCAAAATAGCATTAATTTTGATTCGGAAAGCTTTTCTGTGCAAGTTTTTATAGCACTAACAACCCTGCATACTGCGTGTGTTGATGCTGTTATAAGTTTCTGAGTAAAATTATAATAACCTGCAAAAAGGTATAAAACAGGCAATTTTTCCCAAAAATCATAGTTTAAAAAAACTCATAACTAAGCCAAAAAATCATTAATTTTAATTCGGAAAGCTGTTCTATGCTAGTTTTTAGTAGATTAACAATGCTGCATACTCAGTTTTCAAATTTAAAAAATTCAATTTTTTGTCAAATTTTGGCAATTTCAATGATGTAACCCCTTATAAAATTTTCAATTTTCGGAAAAATGTCAAAAATTTATTTCTTGACCGGACATGGCTAGAACGACTGGGCTGTTGATGCTGATCAAGAATATATATGGTTTATAGGGTCGGAAATGACTCCTTCACTGCGTTTTAATCTTCTGACTGAAGCTTTACTCTGCAAAAAGGTATAAAAACAGACAATTTTCTTAAATAATCGGAGTTTTCCGAACATCATAATTATGCCAAAATAGCATTAATTTTGATTCGGAAAGCTTTTCTGTGCAGGTTTTTATAGCACTAACAACTCTGCATACTGCGTTTGTTGATGCTGTTATAAGTTTCTGAGTAAAATTATAATAACCTGCAAAAAGGTATAAAAACAGGCAATTTTTCCCAAAAATCATAATTTAAAAAAACTCATAACTAAGCCAAAAAATCATTAATTTTAATTCGGAAAGCTGTTCTATGCTAGTTTTTAGTAGATTAACAATGCTGCATACTCAGTTTTCAAATTTAAAAAATTCAATTTTTTGTCAAATTTTGGCAATTTTAATGATGTAACCCCTTATAAAATTTTCAATTTTCGGAAAAATGTCAAAAATTTATTTCTTGACCGGACATGGCTAGAACGACTGGGCTGTTGATGCTGATCAAGAATATATATGGTTTATAGGGTCGGAAATGACTCCTTCACTGCGTTTTAATCTTCTGACTGAAGCTTTACTCTGCAAAAAGGTATAAAAACAGACAATTTTCTTAAATAATCGGAGTTTTCCGAACATCATAATTAAGCCAAAATAGCATTAATTTTGATTCGGAAAGCTTTTCTGTGCAGGTTTTTATAGCACTAACAACTCTGCATACTGCGTTTGTTGATGCTGTTATAAGTTTCTGAGTAAAATTATAATAACCTGCAAAAAGGTATAAAAACAGGCAATTTTTCCCAAAAATCATAGTTTAAAAAAACTCATAACTAAGCCAAAAAATCATTAATTTTAATTCGGAAAGCTGTTCTATGCTAGTTTTTAGTAGATTAACAATGCTGCATACTCAGTTTTCAAATTTAAAAAATTCAATTTTTTGTCAAATTTTGGCAATTTTAATGATGTAACCCCTTATAAAATTTTCAATTTTCGGAAAAATGTCAAAAATTTATTTCTTGACCGGACATGGCTAGAACGACTGGGCTGTTGATGCAGATCAAGAATATATATGGTTTATAGGGTCGGAAATGACTCCTGCACTGCGTTTTAATCTTCTGACTGAAGCTTTACTCTGCAAAAAGGATTAAAAACAGACAATTTTCTTAAATAATCGGAGTTTTCCGAACATCATAATTATGCCAAAATAGCATTAATTTTGATTCGGAAAGCTTTTCTGTGCAGGTTTTTATAGCACTAACAACTCTGCATACTGCGTTTGTTGATGCTGTTATAAGTTTCTGAGTAAAATTATAATAACCTGCAAAAAGGTATAAAAACAGGCAATTTTTCCCAAAAATCATAGTTTAAAAAAACTCATAACTAAGCCAAAAAATCATTAATTTTAATTCGGAAAGCTGTTCTATGCTAGTTTTTAGTAGATTAACAATGCTGCATACTCAGTTTTCAAATTTAAAAAATTCAATTTTTGTCAAATTTTGGCAATTTCAATGATGTAACCCCTTATAAAATTTTCAATTTTCGGAAAAATGTCAAAAATTTATTTCTTGACCGGACATGGCTAGAACGACTGGGCTGTTGATGCTGATCAAGAATATATATGGTTTATAGGGTCGGAAATGACTCCTTCACTGCGTTTTAATCTTCTGACTGAAGCTTTACTCTGCAAAAAGGTATAAAAACAGACAATTTTCTTAAATAATCGGAGTTTTCCGAACATCATAATTATGCCAAAATAGCATTAATTTTGATTCGGAAAGCTTTTCTGTGCAGGTTTTTATAGCACTAACAACTCTGCATACTGCGTTTGTTGATGCTGTTATAAGTTTCTGAGTAAAATTATAATAACCTGCAAAAAGGTATAAAAACAGGCAATTTTTCCCAAAAATCATAATTTAAAAAAACTCATAACTAAGCCAAAAAATCATTAATTTTAATTCGGAAAGCTGTTCTATGCTAGTTTTTAGTAGATTAACAATGCTGCATACTCAGTTTTCAAATTTAAAAAATTTTCAATTTTCGGAAAAATGTCAAAAATTTATTTCTTGACCGGACATGGCTAGAACGACTGGG